TTTCAAATAATCTCATTTTTCAAAACATACTCGGAAAGTAACACATGTGGGTAATCATCGTTAGATGTAGACCTCTGTGTGATGGGCGAGATTCTCGCTGCCTAGGTTATGACCAGTATGGCCAATTTGTTGGACTCCATCAGGTAATCATTTCAAAATATAGACCACTTAATGATGGGCGAGATACTCGCTGCCTAAGTTATGACCAGTGTGGCCAATTTGTAGGACTCATCGGGTAATAATCTCAAAATGTAGACCACTTAATGATGGGCGAGATACTTGCTGCCTAGGTTATGGTCGTGATGACCAAAGTATAGGACTCCATCTACATGTGAGTAATTTCCGAGTCAAAATATGCAGTCGAACATGCATTAAATCCTTCATTAATCATGTTGTACATAATTAAGATAATTTGCTAAATCAAAGTACAAAATTTATAGAATTTTGTAAATTAATGAAGCGAGGAAGTAGAGCGTATTATTAAGACAACATGAAATTTAGTGAAGCAGGGTATTTAAATAAACACCTATGTTAAGTAACATATAACATCAGTGGTCTACAGGACCATTACATTGTAATTTGTACAACTGATAAACTGCTTGTACTAAATTAAATAAACAGCAGGGACTAATATGAAATTGCTGCTAAAATAAAATTAAAAACTAAAAAAAATAAAGGGTAAATGGGTGGTGAGCCGAAATCAATAGGATTCGGCCCACCACCACTACTTTGCAGCCGGCCCATTGGGCCTAAGGGGGAAAATGGACGCCCGGGGGGGGGGGAGAGGGGGGCTACGGTTAGAACTCTAACCGCTTGCCCTGCGGTATTTGCCGCCGCCGCCGCTGATACAGCGCTGCCTCCTCCACCGCTTCTCCTACCGCTGCCCATTTTGCCGCTCCTTCCTCCACCTCTTCCGCTGCCGTTTCCACCGCCGCCTCCCGCATCCACCACCACCTCCATTTGCACCGCCACCTTCTCCTTCTGTTACGCCATCGCCGCTGCCTCCATTTCCGCTGCCGCCCACCACCGCCAGCCTCCACCATCCGCCGCCCACCGCAGTGGCCAACCACCATCCACTGCCGCCTCGGCCGCCCCATCGTCCGCCGGCATTTTGCCGACCGGGTTAGGCAGACAGTCCCCACTCCTCGTCGAAATCGGAGGCCGGACGAGCCCGTCCGCCATTCCCCGGCACCCCGTTTGGTAGGGTACAGCTAGGAGAGCCATGGGGAACGGCGATGAAGGTGTGGCGGAGGCTGAGACGGCGAGTAGCGGCTTCACCGGCGTGGCGGCGAGATGAGGATGGGTTGACTATGTGGTTGGTGGAGGTGCGGTCGAGGACGTCAGGGCCGCGACGAACAGGGCCAGCGGTTACTTCTTCTTCAGCGGGAGGGAGCACTGCACGCCGGTGGGCGTCACCACGACTGTCCATCCATGGTGGGTACAATTACTGTACCCCATGGACTTTTGACGCGGTGAGGCACTGAAGGATTTATGGCCGGCGCTGGTGGTGGCAGGGTTGGAGGAGCAGCAACGACGGTGATGCAGCGTCGAGGGTTGTGGCGGTGGCCACCAACCCTCGTCCGGCGCTCAGTGTGGCGATGGTGGGGATGGTGACGACTCCTCCTCGAACGACGGAGGAGGTGGCGCAGACGGCGAGCGCGTTGATGGCGAGGGAGGCCGAGAACGGCATCCATGATCAAATGAAAGGTAGGCATCGTACCTTCTGGTACTGATTCTTTCGCTTTTCCTTGAGATCAAAAGCGATGGTTTCTTCTCTTCACTTAGAGCGAAGTGCTGATAACGTGTTAAAGTGAATAGAATTGATTGGAGCGAGAGAGATTGAGCGTGAGAGAATGTAGAGGGAATGAATGAGCCGATTCCTTTATTGATCACGGTGTTACAATATATAGGGGGGAGAGAGGCGGCAACCGAAGACGCGATGGTTTGGGAACCATCGCGTCCGTTACTAGAATCGCCATGAGGGCGAGAAGATGTGGGGCACGACACAACCATCGTGTCCCTGAATTGGTTGCTGCTCTATCCATATAGATGGATGAGATCACCCAAACTTTTCATAACATTATTAACGTATTTTTTTAGTGTCTGGTCATCAATTTGAATATGCCTTTGTCATTAAAAAAACTACGATGACACAATTTCACTGTCGTTAATGTAATAACTATCGAAAAATGTCACCGTTGTTGATAGAATCACGATGGCTAATATGCGGTTGTTAATAAGAGTAACGATGGTTGAAAAATACCGTCGTTGATAAAGTAGCAACGGGAAATATTGTGTGGTCGTTAATACTATTAACGACGGAGCCTTTAACGACCACTGACGACAATTTTTTTGTGGTTAAATGATCTTAATGACCACATAATGACCTTCAGCGACCAAATTTACCGTCGTTAATACTCTTTTTCTTAGTAGTGTTTTATGAGTAAATTGCTCAAAATTGTAATAAAACTACATACAAACTATTGTTCCACAAAACCACACATTTATGTAGGAACAATACAAAAACCGAGCCTACAAGAGAGGTGAATGTTAGCATTAGCAAAATCAAAATCTTTTTGTGGAATGAAAATGTGCCTTTGACCTGATGAAGTTATGACCATCCAGTGTGTAGATGCCCGCAACAAATTAACGGAATAAACCTATATTTTTAGACGTATATTGCCCTTGTATATTGTATACTAAAGTGATTATACATAATTAATTCTTATCAAGATTTATTGTGCCCACACAATATCATATTATTATACTTTGCGTGAGATATTTAATATATGATATGAATTGAATTGAAACTCAATTGCACAGATCATATAAAAATATATTTTTTTTGCTAACATGAAATTTTATAATTTTTTGAAGGCAAATAAAATTACACCGTAGCGTTTAGCACGGGCAGATTACTAGTTTATGTAGGAACAAGACAAAAACAAACCAAGCCTACAAGAGAGGTGAATGTTAGCATTAGCAAAATCAAAATCTTTTTGCGGAATGAAAATGTGCCTTTGACCTGATGAAGTTATGACCGTCCGGTGTGTAGATGTCCGTCCGTCTGAATGTGCCTTAACTGAGTCGGATTCATGTGCTGCCAGAAAATGCACTCTGCAGTCACTAGACTATCCGATCAACCAAACTGTTCATGTCCTAGAAGCCAGACCGACAGTGCGATCCACCAGACTATTCATGCCCTAGAAGTTGGACCAACCACCGAAATTCAGAAAAACTCTTGAAAGTAGACCAACTTTATTTCTTTATTTCTTTAAGATGTGCTTACAAAGTACACTCAAAACACTCATCTCTAAACTCACAATATAAAATCAAAGCCTCAAAGTAAATCTTTTTTTTTTGTCTCACGAAATTTCGATATACTCTAGCTTCAACACCTCTTCTATTCATACCCAGAACCTCGCTACGAATCCAACTTAAACTAGAAAGCCCACTCACGTAGGAAACCCCTCGAACTAGGGAAACAACATCACTTTACACCATCAACCTTTTCAAACTTGGATTTCAATCCAAATTTGACTCTGTTTCCCAAACGCACACAAATTCCTGTGTGTGCCATATGGAAACTTCACTTCCATGCATATTGTTCTCTAGTCTGAGCATTCCGCACGATGTCCTTGTCCGTATGGATCTATCACATGTTATACACCCATATCCTAAAGCAAAAGATACACATGGAAAACCAAGAAACCATATATGAGTACAAAAATTCGCAAGAACTGAACTCACATCAGCATAAACACAGTTTTTAATACATATATAAACAATCTAAAAGTAATAAACATAAAGCAATCTAGAAAATCCACGAAAACAACTCGAAATCGACTCAAACATTGAGTCTGGCTTGGTTGGACCGTTGGGCCGGTCAGTCTGACCACTGTTCATGGTTAGTCCTGCTCATTCAGCACTACCAAACCAATCCGTCCGGTCATACCCAGAGCGACACCATTTTGCCCAATTTCAACACAAACACATACCTTTCATAATTATTCATGACATAGATTAAAGCATCATAGGATCTCACAATTTCTTCCATGATGAACACATGACATTATCTCCAAAATACAAATTGATGTTTTTTTAATAATAAAAACAAAGAAGTGTCATAAGGCATTAATGGCCTAAAAAATTATGTTTTCAAATGTGGCAGCAAGATAAACTCTCCCCTTTTCAAAAAAAAAAAAAATTCTCCCACAAATTTGCAATAGAAGCACAAAATCGACTGTTTTTAAAATCAAATTTTCTCTCTTCGAAGAAACATGCGTTTTGTATATTTCTCTCCACCATCCACCGAGATGATTTCATCAAGAATTTCTTAAGAGAAAATATAAACCAATAAAACACAAATGCCATGATTGCAAGATTGCCACCTGTAACCATCAATTTTTTATTTCTGATTTTTTTCCTTTAACAGCTTTGAGATATACCTAAAGCAATTTAAGGTCATGTATTGTAAGAAAAGGGAGATAAATTCATCAATTAGTTAACAAGCATGCACCGGAGTATAAACATTTCAAATGTATCATAAAGCTACACATAGAAGCCATGGTATAGCCAACATACAAATTTTAACACATAATTATATTTGTCTAATAACTACATATGTAGAGGTTCCTCCCTTTCATTGTTGTCATGATTGTCTTTTTACCATTTAGATTTTGTGATAACTTGTTTGCAATATCTGTAATTTTGCAACAATGTGGCTTAAATATGTTGTGTTGTAAATTCAATGACAAAATTTTTTGAAATACAACGGCTTAAGTTTCGTGAAATTTTCTCAAAATATACACAATTTTGTGAATTTTTCTCGTTTTTCATTACATAAAAATTTACATTTTTTTTACTCATCTAAGAGATTAAGCTAGGGTTTCTAGAAGTTCCTCTAATTAGTAAGAGATTTCCCAGTAGAGCAAATGTAACGATTCAAGACTTTGTGGAGGCATGTTGGTGATTTCAATGTTATTTTCCCATGTAAACAGGATATAATCCTTTTCAGCAGAAGGCAAACTGTTCCCGGTCATGTGGGAATATCACAGTTCCCTATCCATTTGGTCTCGAAGAAGGTTGTTTTGCCAGAAAACTATTCCATCTCAACTGCACAGAAGCAAACTCTTCAACTCTGCGATTCGACAAGTATAATCAGGTGACTGACATCAAAATTGAGGAAGGAGTTGTGCTGATTAAATATGACGCTGGTGGTGGTGGTGATCAGGAGTTTATGGCGATAGACGGAGAACCACATCTATATGATGGCTCTTGGGATTACTCTATCTCTGTTGGATGGGCTGTTGCCAATCTAACATGCCTGGAAGCAAAACAGAATGCCTCTGGATATGCATGCGTTAGTACTAACAGCACTTGTGTTCCAGTGAACTCTACTTCTGGTTATGTTGGCTATCGGTGCAACTGCACTGCCGGTTTTCATGGAAATCCTTATATGCTGAATGGATGCATAGGTAAAGAACATTAGGTACCCATCGAATTGAACTAGTTGTTTGTACATTGCTTCTCAGTTCTCACCTCACCTAATTGAGATTTGTTACAGGTATCAATGAATGCCAAAAACCACGAATTTGCAATGGTGTTTGCGATAATCACTGCACTGCGGCATATTTTGGGCACTACCCTGTTCTCATAGGTATGCAAATACTACTACGCTCGATTCTTCTTTTGGACCAGATAAGCTATTGTGGTCAACCAGAACAAAGCATAAGGTCCCATCAGTTGCCCTAATAAGCTATACCCAAAGCCAAAATTTAAATCTTCAAACTTAACTTTGAAGTTGATTTTAAGATATTTTTAGTGTGGTTTTTTTAGCATTGGCTTATAAGGCACTAAGTGTTAGGGTTGTCTATTGGATCACCTAGGTTTAGATCTAGTCGGGTGGTTCTATTTGCGATGGATGATTGAACAACAATAGAGAATAAGGGAAAGGGTTTAGGGATGTGACCGGTTGACGCGTTGGATGAAGAGGAAGTCCCAGCCATCGTCGTTGTCGTCGCTCTGCTTGACGTGGGCGGCGGCGGCGATGGCGGTCGTGACGGCGACGGTGCTGCGCGGCAGTGGTGGTCGTAGGGGATCCCGGCGAGGCCGTGGCGCGGCGGTGGAGTCTTCCCGTCACTGGCTGCGCCCCCTCGATCGGTTAGGGTTTATGGGGTGGAGTGGCGGCGGCGGCGACGAACCTCGTTCCTTGTGTCTTTTCCCGTCCCGTCCTCCACCCCTCTTTATATGGCACAGTGTGACGGGGGCCCACCAGCCATTGGGCTGGGCGCCCCCGATCAGGACGCGGGTCAAGGCCCCCTTGAGCCGTTGGGCTCAAGGGGAGGGAGATCCATCTAACATTCTCCCCCTTGATCTCACTATTTCCTTTAGCTTTTTCTATTCCATCACAGATTTACATATAGAGCATGTTTCATCGTCACGGTTAATTACCGATGGATTCGACAGCCACTATACACATCTCTATTCAGAAACAGATACTTTAACTTTTGGGCCCTATAGTCCAGGATTCATAAGGCTTCCCTTAAAACCCATGCATGCTACATGTTCCTTGAACATGTTGGGAGGTAGGCCTTTCATGAGCGGATCCGCGAGCATCCTTTCTGTTCTTATGTGCTCGAGACTGATTGTTTGATCCCGGACTTTGTCTTTCACAACATAGTACTTTATGTCAATGTGTTTGGCAGCACCACTTGACTAATTGTTGTGAGAGTATATTACTGTGAGTTCTTTATCGCAGTATAACTTTAGTGGTTTCTCAATACTATCAACCACCTTTAAAACCGGGTATGAACTTCATTAGCCAGTTCACCTGCCCCGTAGCCTCATGGCATGCTATAAACTCGGCATACATGGTAGACCCTGCAGTGGTAGTCTGTTTTGAGCTTTTCCATGAAATAGCTCCTACTGCCAGGGTAAACATGTATCCCGATGTTAACTTTGTATTATCTTTTGCAAAGTCAGAATCCGAATACCCCACTATCTGGAGCGATTCTGCTTTTCTGTAAGACATCATGAGGCCTTTTGTTCCTTGCAATCACGCAAGATTTTCTATACCAATTTCCAGTTCTCTAGGCCTGGATTACTTTGAAATCTGCCAAATAACCCGGTAACAAATGCCAAGTCAGGTCGTGTGCACACTTGCACGTACTGTAGGCTTCCTACAGCTGACGCATATGGCTTTGTTTTCATTTTATTGAGCTCATACTGATTTCTGGGACATTGCGATGCCCCATACTTTTCGCCTTTGACTATAGGAGCAGGTGTAGCAATGCATCTGTACATATTGAATTTCTTCAACACCTTTTCTATATATATGCCTTTTGAGAAAATCCCAATGCATACTTTGTTCTATTTCGGTGAATCTCTATGCCCAAACATATGAAGCCTCACCGAGGTCTTTCATGTCAAAGTTTGAGGACAAGAATTTCTTCATTTCCTGCAGTAGATTGACATCACTACTAGCCAGTAGAACGTCATCTACATACAGAATTAGGAAAATGAGTCTCCCATTCTTAACCTTGAATCAATACAGTTGTCCTCTAAATTCTCTTGAAAAACCCAAATTTCTTTATTGTTCCATCAAACTTCAAGTAGCATTGTCTCGAAGCTTTGCTTTAACCCATAAATGGATCTCTTTATACGGCATCCCATATTTTTGTTTCCTTTCATGACAAAACCTTTCGGTTGCGCCATGTATACTTTTTCCTCCAAATCTCCATTTAGAAATGCCATTTTTACATCCATGTGATGTAATTCCAAATCATAATGTGCCACTAGTGCCATTATAATCCTGAAGGAATCTTTACAAGAGACTGGAGAAAATGTCTCATTGTAATCTCTTCTCTTTGCGTGAAAACTTTTGCCACAAGTCGCACTTTAAACTTTTCTATATTCCCTCTGGAGTCATATTTGGTTTTGTAGACCCATTTACAGCCTACTGTTTTGGCTCCTTTAGGAATTTCTTCTAAATCCCAGACATCATTTAATTTCATTGATTTCATTTCATCTTTCATGGCTTCTCATGGCCTCTTCATATGAGATGGGATCATCCTCCATATGCGACTCTTTCAGGCCTTCTAGGGGCCTCCTATTCTGGCACATTATCTGTTTGAGGCTGTTGCAGCTCCTCCTCTGATGTGACAATAATTTCTGTTGAATCCTGTAGAACAGGTTCCTCACTTTCATTCATTGTTGCCACAGGAGAGATAACAACAGGTGTTGGTACCGCAAGGGCATGCATTGCTGGCACAACATTAGCAGGTAGAGAGAAGAAAGGTTCCTGAGTCGATGGAGCGGGTACAGACACCCGCCTCTCCTCAAGATCAATTTCTCGAATTACCGAGCTCCCCCTAATCATTTCGTCTTCCAAGAAGACGGCGTGTCTCGTTTCTACAAACTTTGTATAACTGTTTGGACAGTAGAAACGATGACCCTTTGATCTTTCAGAATAGCCAATAAAATGGCAGCTTACTGTTTTGGGTTAAATACTTTATCCTTTGCAGGACTCCCCCACACACGGAGGATCCATAGTTCATACGGTGTTTTGGGCACCGATGCATTCTATGCATTGTATGCATTGTTCTAAAACTGAGAACTCCAATGGAGGAAGAATTACATTCTTAACCAGTCTCTCAATTCTCCCCCTCGAAATATGGCCTAAACAACAGTGCCATAATTTCGATGAGACATCAGGAGTTCGCTTTCTTTTCTTTTGTCAACGAGGACACAACATTCACATTCTCAGAAAGAGATAACAAATAAAGCTGATCTTGCAACATAAGACCAATACATTCATTATTATACCATAGTTCACATTTGCCATTTCCAAAATGGCAATCATATCTATCAAAATCCAATTTGGATACACTTATTATCAAGTTTCTTTGCAAAGAATGGACATAAAAACATCTGGAAGTAAAAGTGTGAAGCCATTCGCGAGTTCTAGGTGAAGATCTCCAACAGCTTCAACTTTTGCTTCAACTCCATTGGCAACTCTAATGGATCTTTCACTTCTTTGCGTAGTCCTCATTGAACGGAATCCCTTTAAACAATTACACACATGAATAGTTGCTCCAGAATAAATCCACCATGTGGATCTAGAATAACCAATCATAATGAGATTCTTTACAAATGTAATAATGTTCTCACCTTTCTTTGCCATGATCACTGTCAGGAAGTCAGGACGATCTTTCTTGGAATGTCTTGTCTTCTTGCAGTGGAGACACTGATTTTGTCTCAACTGTGAACTGTTGTTTCTGAGGCAGATGCTGAGGCTGTTTTTCTTTTGAGGAGGGTGACCTGTGGCTCTTTTCCTTATCTTTAACAAGGTTAAAGGAGCCACCATTGGTCTCTTTGAGTCTTTCCTCCTCTTGGACACAATTAGAGATGAGCTCTTCAATATTCCAATTCTCTGTACTTATTTTGTAGTTGACAACAAGGTTGTCAAAGTTCTTTGGCAATGAGGACAAAACCAGATGGACCAGAAAGTCATCTGAGATGCCCAAATCTTTTTGCTTCAATTTGCAAGCCATGTTGCTCATCCTAAGAATGTGGTCTTTTACACCACCTCCATGGTACCTCTCTGTAACAAGCTGCTTTATCAGCTGTGTCGCATAAAACTTTGAAGAACCAGTAAACTGGCTCTTTATACTTTCGAGGTACTTAGAGACAGTGTCATACTCTGGGATTGAGCCCAATATGGTTGGCTCAATCGTGTTCTTTACCGCAGCCAAACAATTCTTGTTGGCTGAAGACCATTTCGCATGCTCAATGTCATACGACATGATGAGGGAAGCATTGTCCCTCTCTCTCTTTTGCCATTCAGCATCTGACTCTTTTTCACCTCTGAAAATTTCAGCAGGTTCTATAGGACATGGGGTAGTCAACACCCAGTCCACCTCTCCCAAGATAAAAGCAAGGTCGAGTTCTCTTTTCCATTCTTCGTAGTTATCTCCTTTCAGGGTCAGAATATCTTTAATGTAACCCATCAAGGAGTAGCCACCTAAGATAATCATGTATTGTGAGAACAAAATTAACATTAAAATTATTATGTATTAAGTCTACATCACCGTTGGGCAGAAAATAGACATAACACATAAAGCCATAACTATAACATTGCAATTATCAACGTTGGTCAGAAAAATTACAACATCATAGCACATAATTAATGTTCCTAAAATTAAAATCTCCCGTTGGTTCGAAATTTAATTTTAGAAACACTAATTTTCATCAATTTCATCTATTTGCAGCGGAAGATCTATATACAATTCATATAAACAATAACAAAACTCTGTTGTTTACTCTTTGTAAAAATTCTCCCGTTGGTTCAAATTTAAACAGAGGTAAAACATGTAAGAACAATTCAAAATTCTATTGTAATTTGCATAAAATATACAAAATACATGTTCAGAAACATTTCTCACATTTATCAATTCTCTAAACAATTTTCACGTTGGTTCAAATTGCTTAGAAATAAACACAACCATTAAACATATTGAAAATGCTTCCTTCAGCCGAGGGACTTTTATTAAACTTCCTTTCTTTTGATTCGGCCCCGAGGGACCTAAAATGAACTTTTTCGGCCTTTGCCAGTCGGCCCACGGCCGCCTTGCGCGCGGGCGGGCGCCCCCTCCCCCT